TTTTTTTACGAAAGTGATAACAAATCGCCAAAAACCAATGTAACGCAAGAAATACTAAATTTATACCATTGGCGTACTTAACTCGAATGACTGACATTTTTACCGTTACTAATTGTTTATACATAAGTTTCAACTTTAAAATCAAAATTCTCAATAAGTATTGGGCGGAATTATAAGAGCCTTCAAAAGAAATATTACTCAACCCCCAATGCCATTTAAATATTTTGGGGTGATGCTTACCCTTTCTTGGGGGTGAAAGTGGTGGAGTCAAAAATACCAGCAAAGAATGTCTATGAATGTTTAATCTAAAATCGACGGGTCTGAGCGTTTTTCTACAATCTTGACGCAGTTCCTGAAAATGGCTCTGTTTCGTTTTCATTTGGCCACCCTGTATAATTTTAAACAAATAATTTTTATTGTTTATTAGATTGCTATGTTTACCACTCCAAAACCGTCTTGATTTAACACGGTTCAAACCATTTCAAATAGAAATTAAATTGTAGTAAGTATATAGTATGTTGTTGTCTTATTTTATTATATATAGTTTTCGAAAAAACTTTGTTTTTCATCTCGAACGCGAAATTCTTTTGCGTTCTCGAACGTATATTTCGCCTCACTAAGCTCGGCAAAATAACTTCCATTCTTGAACGCAAAAGCGCCTATCATTTCACTTTCTAGATACAAAATTAACTATAGATATATGGAGCTATGATAAAATACAATTAAATAGCTGAAAAATACATATAAATCAATTAAAATACATTTAATTAGATTTATACACTTTTAAATGCATTTATATACAGTAAATAAGTAAATAACTTGTAAATGCATAAAAAACATATGCCTGCAATAAATTTATTGGGGAAAATTACATATAGGTTTGTAAAGTTCTTGTTTTTAATGCCCAAATGATTCGACTTACAATTGGCAAGTCATTTTATAAATGAAGACCACAGATCATCATAGTTCGAGAAAAATAATTTTTAAAGATTCGCTGATTCATTAGATGTCAATAAATGTTAATAGAAACCCTAGAAGTTTTATTTATGAAAATATAATTTGACAACATTATAACTAAAAATTGTACCTATTACCGATTTTTGAACAGGGAAAAAAACGGGTGTTGTCACAAAAGGGAAATACAGTGAAATCCACAATAATTGTGCCCAGAGAGAGAAAACTTTTTCATTTTTAAATTTATGAGAAAATCTAATTCTTTATAAAATTGTATGTCATTTGTATCTTTATAATTCTTTAATCTTACGTTTATTTTCTATGTTTCTGTGAGGTATATTATCATAGTAAGATTTTACTTCCATGAATGAACTTAATTCTTTTAGACCTTGCAAATTTCTGATTTTTTAAGTCTCATATTGGAACGAAGTCGAATTTATTATTATCAAAACAAGAAATAAAAATTCTTTACTGGGCAGGGCAGGCTTAAGCTCAAAAATCTTCTAAATTAGGAGTAATATTGAATTTGCGCCCATTATCATTAACAGAAAGTATATGAGACACTAGCCATGGATGAATTTCTTTCCCTAATTGGGTATGTTGGAAAATTTACACTTATTTTCCATCTCATCAAACAGAAGATTCATTCGAGTTACTATGTTATTTGTAGGTATACGTAATAACATACAAATCTAAATTTAATTATTCTTTAAATGCTAATAGGAGTGGATGCGGTTGGACATGCTGAAGATGTGAAATATCTGTGGCACGTTGACGGATTAGACGACTTCAGTTCATACTCTGTAGGTGACAGACTGACTCAGCGTCGCCTTCTGAAACTATGGTCGAATTTCGTCAAACACAGGTGAGTTATCTAGGATACCTTCATCTAAACTCAATATTATCTTCTCACCTACCTTTCAAAAAAAATATCCAGATTTCATCACAGAACGTTACGGATTCTTAAAACAAAATAAAAATCTTGGAGAATTTCCTATATCTAATAAAAACAAAGAAATAAAAGATATAAAATAATTCATCTTAAGGACTTCAGCATTAATCCAATTGGGGTATGCAGAATCGAGTGGAGTAATAAAATTTTTAAAATGAAAAACTGATAATCGATTTTTGTCAAATTTGAAAAGAAATAGTAAATAGACTTTGATAACTGTAAATAAATTCAAATATCATGTGACGGAAAAATGAGTTTCTTCAGATCTATCTTTCGAAAAACACCTGAATTAAATCATATAATAAATACCTATAGTACAGCCTTCTAGATGTACTCGTTCAGTGTCACTAATTAGTTAAATTCCAACATTTTCCTCTCAAATTGGAAAAAAAATTAAAACGATATACTTATAAATTGATAAAATCGGAGCTGTCAGAACCATCATGACCTTAAAAGTGACCACCCTTCATATCTTTTTACATTATTTATTAATATGGTGGGAATTTTAATAGTGACACTAGGTTATTATAGTCGGTGCTGAGACTCCCCCTCCACTTTCAAACTTGGTATGCCCTTGGTATGACCTTCCGTGACCTGGATGATATTGGTAGAGGTCACGATGATTTGACCTCTGCTTATGGGAGGAGGCATTCGACATTGAATGACTTTGAACTTTGAAGTGACGTCATTTAGTAAACAAGGAATTTGGAGTTGACTTCTTCGTCAGGAACGTGGAATATAACAAAATGCATTTGTGTAGTGAATGTGGTAAAACGTTGACTCATACTGACAATTTATGTCGTTGTGAGAGGCTTTCTTGCACAGCGAGAATAACCAGTGCATACGAACCTAGTGCTAAAGGTATTAAAATCGATTCTTCAAGTACTCAAACTATTAAATGTTGCAATAATCGCTAATCAAATAAATTCGCATCGCAGAACACTGGAGCACAGAACAATGTCTTGTACTCCCAAATGCGATGGCGTACAAATTATCAACAGCGCGTTCAAGCGTAGAATTATTAGTTATCGAGTGTATAGTCAAAATCAGCATATAGATTACAATTTGTTTTCTAATGAAGTAAAAAAGAAGATATTGGAATTGCTAGAAGAAATCGTGAAAGTGCACATCTGTAAAAGTCAATATGGAAACTTTCGGCAAATATGTATTACCAACGGAGGAAACAACAGATGTTAAAGCATTTAATAGTTGTAGTAACAGGATTATTGACGAATCCAAGGATCTCAATAATATTTATTAAGAGTTTGTCGATACGATAATATCCCTAACATCGGAATTTGAAAAAAAAATATTCTGGTAACTAAATGTGTAAAACACACTGATGGGCTATCGTCGAAATTTTGTATGTTGAAGTAAATATAAATAAAAATAATCCTCTATGTGCGTCTTCATACATGAAGTTACCAAAGTTCATCGAAAATAAGAATGCCGTGGTGAATATAAGAAATCAAGATCGTAGGTATGCGCCATAACTTCGGCGATATATACTAGTCCAGGAAAATTACACATTGGCATGGCTGTTGCTTGACGTAGATTAGATATTAGTAAAAATCGGTCGAAAATAATATAAACAATGAAAATATAAGGTTGCGCCAAGAAAAAAAGTTGTGCCATTTGCAGAAAAAATTAAAAACTGAATCACGTGTGTTTTCTCACATTTTCCAATATAACTTCTTAAATATGCAGCCTACAGAAAAAACTATTACTGATGAAATTGTTTGTTATGAAATTTGCTATAAGAACAAATTGGTTTTGATACCTGTGCATTTCATATTTTTGTTGCTAGATAGCCAAAACGGCGTGAGAAAGTGATGAAAATCGAGGTAATTTTGAAGCGTTCAACTGATAGGTAAGAAATTGTCCAATTGTACTATAAATGTAGATGTAAGTACTTTAAAGGATTACAAAACGAAATCCCAAAACCCGATCGAAATCGGTCTGATAGTTTTGGTATGAGACAATTTGTTATTAAATTTTAGCGCGAAATGTCGTTATTTTTTTGCGTCAGTGCTGAGGTTAATGTTAGGCATTTTAATTGGCGCTGATTTTTTTACACATTTTTGGACTCTTTAGCTATCATATATAATCGTTCTAATATTAATTTTCTTTTTTTATATAATTTTTGGAGCGATTTTAAAAATTCAAAAAATTTTGACTTTATAAACAAATACTTTCGTGAAGCAGTTTTGCGGGTTGGAATATATACCAAAGTACAAAAAATAGTTCTCGGAAAGACGCTTAACTTGAAAAAAAGAACGTTCAAATGGGTCATATAAGTTCCGAGATATAGAGTGTCAAAGTCAACAAGCGCCTGCTGCAAAACTATACATAATGTAACAACAACAAAAATTGAATTTGGTAGGTTTTTTAAAGAACTTTCCGTATGTGTTTTTATAAATATAACCGCACGTGTGCTTTTTATATGAAAATTCAATGAATATCGTTAAGCCGAGAAGAGGGGATGAATTATAGAAATTGAAATCGTGCGTTCAAAGAGCGCGCGCGCTTCGGCCTTCAGTATCTCGGCTTCTATGGCTCCGATTTTGATTATTTTTTTTTAACCGATATAGAAAAATGAGAGGAGTTCAATTACCAAGGTTTCATTAAAATATTATAAAGCCCTTTTCGGTCTATTACGACTAAAAATTTTCCACATTTTGTTGTTATACTGTATATTCAAATAAACAATAATATCGATGGTAGGATATAGGTACATAATCCAGTGTTACTAGGTATTAGTTTTAATAATTACGTGGTAATAATGTTTAAATACAATCTTGACATTTTTATTTAATATGTAATTTATTTATTGTATTCATATAATATAGAAAAAAATATAGATACAAATAATTATTTATTTATTTTTACAAAACGTGTTTATTATACTTTCATAATTATCGTATTATTAAAGTTTTTCACTTTTTTACATCATTGGTATTTTCACTTATAATATCAGCATTTGAATAAGTATTGTTGTCCATTATTTTCAAATCAGTGCTTAACTAATTGTAAGTAGGTACCACTGTTAAATTAACAGCAAATAATGACTTATGGTTGGTTAATTTGATTTTTTAAATTTGCCAGCAATTTCATAGCCATCCTCGCAAGAAATTGGATCATTTTATTTATCACAAAATCCGTCAAAAACAGAAAAATTAAAAGATAGGTATAGGGAGGTGTAATATGGATAGATGTGGAGTAAATTTCTACAACAGATTTTTATTAAATATACAGGGTGTCCCATTTAGAAAAACCAAGTTTTGGCGGTTCGGTCAATCAAATTCGACAATAAATATGAAATTGAAATAGGTCGAAGACCATTAGACCATTAGAGATACATATAGGGAAGCTTTATAAAAGTCCTCTAAAAATATGCGTAGAATTCAAATATACAAAAATATACAGGATGTTCCATTTATAATAAGCAAATAGGTGGCGACTACCGGTATAACCGGAAGTACTACAACAATGGCATTATTTTATTTAAACTCTAAATAAAACCTCCAAAACCACCAGGTCAAAAATTTTCAAAATTCAAATCGAAGTAGTCTCCGAAATATTCTAATGGGTCGTCACCGCATGACAGCCTGTATAATGAATTGCAAAGTGCGATTTTTAATTGTTTACTAAAGGAAGAAATTTTTGAGAGCGAAATCAGCAACTATGCTATAAAAAAGCTTAATACATTTTTTAATAATGCGATGATACGTTTTATAAATATCAAATAATAATTATTTGTATCTGCATTTTTTTCTATTTTATATGTAAACAATAAATAAATTACATTAGGACATAAAAATTTCAAGATTTTAAACATTATTACCAAGTAGTTATTAAAATTAATACCTCTTAACAATAGTCATCGATATTATTTACATGAATATACAACAATGAAATGTATGAAATTTTAAGCAGTCGTAATAGGCTGATAAGGCTTTATAATATTTCAATGAAATCTTGATAATTGAATTCCTCTCATTTTGCTATATCGATTTAAAAAAAATCATCAAAATCAGAGCCGTAGAAGCCGAGATATTGAACGCCGAAGAGGGCGCGCTCTTTTTGAACGCGCGATTTCAATTTCTATCATTCATCCCCTCCCCCCGGTTTTGCGGCTCAAACGGTCGGTTTGGCGATATTCATTGAATTTTCATATAAAAAGCACACGTGCGATAATATTTATAAAAGCACATACGAAAAGTTCTTAAAAAACCTACCAAATTCAATTTTTGTTGTTGTTACATTATGCATAGTTTTGCAGCTAACGCTTGTTGACTTTGACACTTGATATCTCGGAACTTATGTGACCGATTTGAACGTTCTTTTTTTCAAGTTAAGCGTCTTTCCGAGAACTATTTTTTAGTACTTTGGTATATATTCCAACCCGCAAAACGGCTTCACGAAAGTATTTGTTTATAAAGTTAAAATTTTTCGAATTTTTAAAATCGCTCCAAAAATTATTAAAAAAAAGAAAATTAATATTATAACGATTCTATATGATAGTTAAAGAGTCCAAGTATGTGTAAAAAAATCAGCGCCAATTAAAATGCCTAACTTTAACCCCAGCACTGACGCAAAAAAATAACGACATTTCGCGCTGAAATTTAGTAACAAATTGTCTCATACCAAAACTATCAGACCGATTTCGATCGGGTTTTGGGATTTCGTTTTGTAATCCTTTAAAGTACTTACATCTACATTTATAGTAGAATTGGACAATTTCTTACCTATCAGTTGAACGCTTCAAAATTACCTCGATTTTCATCACTTTCTCACGCTGTTTTGGCTATCTAGCAACAAAAATATGAAATGCGCAGGTATCAAAACAATTTTGTCTTATATCAAATTTCATAACAAACAATTTCATCAGTAATCAGTAATCCATATCTCGAAGGTTTTGAGCTTAATTCTCTTGGACTATACACCTAGAGGTCCAATTCAGGAGGTGTCGTCGTATCCACATTTTTCTACAGTTTTAAACGTGACGGGTATGGATTTTCCAGCTAAATTAAAAGATATCATAAAATTTGAAATGATGAACGATATATCAGTTAACGTATACGATTTAGAAAAGGAATTTAAGGATAATAAAATGAAATACGAAATAGTAGGGCCGCTGCAGTACAGAGCAAAAAAAATACTTTATCATGTGAATGTGTTACTTATTACAGAGGATTTCGGAGAGAACCATCATTGTAGAAAGCAATGTATAAGTCATTATTACTGGAATAAAAATTCAAAGTTAGTTTCTAGTCAAGTTTCACTTCACGAATATAGAAAATATTTTTGTGAGGGTTGTTTGTTGTATTTCAGTAGCGAAAGATTGAGCATCAGAGCAACGACTGCAATCACGTTTATGCGACAACGCCTTCAAATAACCTTCGTATGGATAAATTTGAAAAAAATGTTCCCGAAAACATATTAAAATTTGAAAATTTCGAAAAGCTATTGAAGGTGTCTTTCGTGGTGTACGCCGATTGTGAATCTATTCTAAAACCGATCGCCACGAACCTTCTCATACGTATACTTAATAAAATGTTCATTCGATGATCTAAATTCGTATTATATAGAGGACAGAATGTCCGAAAAGAGTTCATAAAACGTCTCGAGTCGGATTTAATCGAAATTTATAATAAACATTTAAAAGAGATAGTTCTAATGACCCCTTTATCGGCGGAGGAAGAGCAAGACTTTTTGAACGCAACCGTTTGCGTATATGTGAAAAACCGTTTCATGCAGGAAAAGTAAAAGCCGGAGACCATTGTCATTTGACGGGCAAAAAAATATACGGGGCAGCTCATTCTGTTTGTAATTTAATTTATAAACTACCTAATTTTGTCCCTATCATATTACACAGCATGAGTTCTTACAATTCGCATCTTTTTATCAAAGAGTTGTGTTCTAATAAAGATAGAATAGACGTTATAGCTCAGAGCAAAGAAAAATACATATCCTTCACGAAAAGAAAAAATATTTGATGAGATTTATCGATAGTTTTAAATTTCTATCCACTTCTCTGGAAAATTTAGCACTCAACTTAGCAATAATCAATTTCAAGAAACCGTTAAACACTTTCCGGATTAGGAACAATTTAATTTAATTAGACAAAGGGGCGTTTTTCCTTACAGTTTCTTAACAACTTTGGATAAACTAGATAATAAAAATTTACCCAAAAAAGAGAAATTTTATGATAATTTTTCTCACGAGCATATATCAGACGACGATTATCATAGGGCGCAAAAAACATGAATATCTGTAAATGTCAAAATTTGGGCGTGTATTCGGATACATATTTAAAATCGGACGACCCATATTATGCGACGTATTCGAAAACTTTCTAAACATTTCACTAGATAAATATCACTTACATCCGGCTCAGTACTTTACCACCCCAGGATTAGCTTGGGACGCGATGCTAAGACTCACCAAAGTACAATTTGAACTGTTATATTGTGTTGATATTTCAATTAACCATTTCTTAAAAAAAAGGGATTCGGGCGGTATGAAAAGTGTTCGGAACGAAAACATATAGCAAATAATATTTTTGTTCAAAATTACAACCCGCTAGAGCGCTAGTCATTTATCGCTTATTTGGACGCTACAAATCTATACGGTCACAGTATGGAAATAATGGATTTCGACGTCACGAATATTCCAGACGAAGGTCGTCACGGATATATGAATATTAGTAGTCGACATGGAATATCCATCGGAATTGCACAACTTACATAGAGATTTGCCATTTTTAGCCGAGAGCATGATTCCTCCCGGTTCTAAGTCGAAAATTCCTAAATTGATACCCAACTTGAATAATAAAAGTAAGTATATAATAATAAAATAATAAATTAAGTTAATAATAAATTGCCTTTATTGAATCCTCATGTTAATATATTGATTGAGCATCATATAAAAAGAAAAGTGAATATGAGGAAGGGGGCGAAGTGTCAGCCGAGACTGCTTTTCAACTTAACCCCCCAAGAGAAAATAACATTATTAAGGAAGGTTTTTAACAATAGATTTTCAAGTATCGTACTGTTGTGACTGATGATTCAGATGGATTTTGTTTTAAACTTGGTTAAAAATTTTTTGATTCAAATCTCAATTTTGTAAGTATAAATTAGATTATTACTTGTGGTTGTTATCAATGTATATTCCATTATAGTTTCTCCTGAGGCAGGAATAAATTTGTTCCGAAAGCTCGAGCAATAAAAAAGAGTACACTTAAAAATTTTGGTTTTGACTGCAGACCCGACTTTATTTAGAATTTTGTTAGTTAACTTAGACAGTCGTCTAACGCTTTGGCAATATATATATACATAATACAATTACATAATTCAGATCTAATCATTCCAATCAATAAATGTACAAAATAAAATCATAAAACAAATGTACGGAAACTATTAAAGAAAAATATAGATAAGAGCTAAATGCAAAAACGAAAAAAAGAAAACAAATAAAATGATGCTATATAATAAAAAAATTTAGACTTTGGAAAGATACTATATTCTGCAGCTTACTATGCTTACAAAAATTTTCAACGTAGTTTCTATGGTAAAGATAATTGTGAACCAGTGATGGATATTGGAGAGTTCCGAAAAAATTCACTATTTATTATCGATTGTTTACATCAACAAGAAGCCATGAAGTCATCCACTGTAGACATAAAGATAGAATTTGAAACCCGAAAGAAAAACTTTTCTGAATATACACGAGTGTATGCATTGATAAATTCACGATGCTTATTTGGCTTACAATGCTTTGGATGGTTTTGTACATAATGGATTTAAGTAATCTAACGGACATCTTACGTGCGTCAACAATTTCTTAGTTGTTAATTAATATATTTTATTTTTCATACATGTAATTTATTTCATATTTTGTGTATTTATATAATGTATTTATCTGTAGTCATGTAATAAATAAATCAACAATAGAAGTTTAAAATCATATATTTATTTTATTTACATTTCATCATAATAAGAAAAGAGAAAATTGTTCATCATTAATATGATATATAATTTACATAACTATATCAAAATTTCATAAAAATTTCATGTTATGTCTGATAAGCTTCAACTTCGTCGTTATCTTGGCCACCATCACCATTTTCTTGAGACGTTAATTTGTATTTCACAACAGCTGCATATGACAGATAATCGAGCAAATAAAAAATAAGAAAACGTTTTAGTCCTATCTCCACTTAAACAATCACCACATGACGGAACACCACGGCAATACATTTTGCAATCTTCCTCCAATTGTCTAACCTTTCCTTCACAAAAGCATTAATTCATATCATGATGATGACTGTCTTCATCTAGGCAATACAACTCACATCTCAACCTTTTCACTGCTGATTTGATTTCCATAGCTTCGGGCCAGCTTTGGCTAACATAATGCATCTACATTTTTAAGAGTTCTTTCTATAAAAAGATAAATATTGTGATTAAAACTGATATTATAATATATCAAATTATTAATTGCCTATTAAACTTTAAAACAAAAAAAACAACCTTTTATGGTACTGACTAAATAGTGTAAATATCTATATCTATAATATAATATGATACAACTAATTGACAATGGCAAATTTTATTAATGCTTTACATTTAGCTTCTTTAAAGATAGGCTCGCTTTGACCTAAGTAAGTTATCCTATACTGCTCCCAAGAAGAATTCATTTTATTTAAAATACCCTCTGTTATGTGTTCTGCAACCCTCTTTGCTAAAAAAATATTTGAAGTATAAATTACTCTTCTTATCGAACAATATAGCCAAAATGCACTTTCCAAGACGCGTAATTGTAAAAGACAATTTTTTAATCAACTAAGGTATATTAACTTCTAAATAGGAGATCGAATAATATCATTAAAATCACCGTTAATATCATTATTAATTTTATTTAAATCATCACTTGATAATGCCATTTTCTGTTTAAAAGTAATTCCTTGTAATATCTAGTTAGCAATAATTATAATAAGTGTTCTCGTTTCAAAAAATTTAATCACAAAACACAAAAATTTACACTACTGTAGACAATAACTACTAAGGTTTGACACTGAACGAATTGTGTCTCTCTCTAGTGCGATCTACTCTCTTATATGGAAAATCCCCCACTACAATTCGAATACGTCATACCAATTTCAACTCAATTCATTCACCACTTCTATGTATGACAATTACAGAGGTCAGTCAAGGTGGTTGATAAAATATTTATCGCTAATATTTAACTCGGCAGGGGTCAAATGAAGGTCACTAACTGCCATTATGTCACTTCAAAGTCATTCAATGTCGAATGCCTTCTCCCATATACAGAGGTCAAACCAATATCCACGTCACTAATGTCGTCACCCAAGGTCACCCCGAGGTCGAAAGTGGAGGGGGGAGTCTCAGCACCGGCTATAATAACCTACTAGTGACATATTATTACGTAACGAGGAGAAATTTAAAATTATAAATATTAGTAAAAATCAAAAATATATATTTTTGTTTTGCATGTAGATATTCTATCTCCTCCCAATTATCAAGCGGATAGGTTATATTTTAAGACAACTACCTAATATCTAATTACGTATGAGACTTGACTATTCATTCATTTTGCGTTTTTTTTTTAATTTTTAAAGAAACATTTTTTTGTTGTTTCGATGCAAAATTTCTTTTCTCAATTATCTTCTAAAACATATGTGATATGGGAACGTCCAATGTCAAAATCATGGAAAAGACAGAATATTGTACATATTTTTATTAATGTCACTTGTAGGAATCCAACTCCCGAAGCTGATCCACTCTTTAACAATATTGTATGGCCAAAAGTAACTTCGGACAAGATCAGCTACTTGAATATTAACAGAACTCTTGAAGTGAAAACAAACCCCAGACAATACGAGAAGTACAAGACAATCGTGGACAAATATGCCCAAAGTTCTATGTATACTTACTAGTTATTTTATTGTATTTTATTGTATTTTGTTGTATTTTATTGTATTTTGCCATATTTTAACGTTTACTTTAATGTATATGAGAAATAAATGATTACTTTAGTTCTAGCACTGCCACCTTTTTTTTGTGTAGTTGAATCATTGGCTTCAAAGTTCCTAACCCACTTTTGAATAGCGTTGTTAGATGGTACCCCAGCGCGAGGCGATTATCGGTAGTGTAAACGAAAAGCTCATCTATATATGATTTACAATGTAGAACATAAAGCATTAAAATTATCTAGTGGAAGAACAAAATTTAAACTACATTAAAGAATAATTTTCCAATTTAATTGATTAATAAGGTCGTCGGAGTAGGACAAAATAAAAACAGAAATGCTAATGTAGATCAACAACCATATTGTAAAATACCTTATACAGGCTGTTACAAATTCGCTTCTCACTACAGGGATCTCGGAAACGGTAAGAGGTACGAAATAGTTTAAATGGGGGCAAAGTTGCCTAATCAGGGGACCAACATTATACCTCTAAAAAATCAAGGCTAACATGATTAGTTTTCGAAATATATGAAAAAACCGAAATTTTGGATATCCGTTTTTGTTTCATTTCAGCCTTGAAAAAAGACTTTCTCATGGCCACTTTTTGCCCTCTATCGAATGGCATAATTAATTTTTGTATGTAACGTTTCGTCTCCCCAGGACCATCATCAACTTGATTTTTTTAAATACGACCCTAGAAATGTTATTACATTTTTTGCAAGCTTCATAACCCCCAATACTGTACTGCCTCAACCCGAACCAGATTTAGTCATTTTGTCTCGAAAAATTCGTTCCAAATTTATCTAAATTTTTTATTTAGATTTCTTTGTTTATTGAATTATCGTACACTGTAAGTGTCGTTAGACCCTGTGAAATCCATCTAGTTTTTTAAACTATTACCACAGTATTTTCCGCCACATAATTAGACAAAATGGTTGGTTTTCATGAGTTAAATGAGCATGGTTAAAATTTTGGCAAATATGTTTGGGATACCCTGTATAATACTTTGCGGAAAAATGTAACAACGTCGTTGTAGTTTTATGTTTTCTGTTACAGGCGCATGATTACCTGCATATAAATATAATTCTCATTAAATTAGAAAACTACAATGAATATAGATTTTTCTAAAGATTTAAAGTAATTAACGACGTCTGCTGTGCTTCTATCAAAATAAAAAAAATCCATATAAGAATATTCTAAGTAAATTCTAAAAATTGATAACAGTAGATATTTATCAAGTAACCAGAATTATGCCATTGGTTTGATAGTAAGAGAATTGAAACCAAGTTTATCTAAGATCTAAGATATAAAGCACTTGCCATAATTGATTTTAAATTACTTCTAGTCACTATGTTTTGAGTAAAGAACCTGCACATAATACCTTTTAAAAATGTTTCTCGAAATGAAAATATGTGCCACGCTGCTAATTTTAATTAATGTAAAAACTTCTTTCGCTGAGGTAAGTGTTTTTTTATTACATTATGCTTCAGAACTTCTTTCTTATACCGTTAACAAAAGCTTGGTTTGATTGGTTGGCTAAACGCTCTATTAATGTAAAAATAAATCTACAAAAGTTTCTAAATGAATAATCACATGAAAAATATTTGAATATAATGTCACCTTTTTAATAACACATTTTCCTGTCAGATTCTTCAAAACGCCATCTGGAAATTTTCAAAAGTAATTTTATATTTGCAGTCGATGAAGCTGATTGTTTTTTATTGTTTAAAGTTTCATTTAATAGTATTTTTTGTTCTAATAATAGACTTCAGCACCGTGTTTAATAAATTATTTATTATATTTAACGCAATTAATTTTTTGCAAAGGGATATAGTTACTAAAACAGTATACGAAAATTAGAAATAAATAGCGGACTAAAAAGCAGTTTATTTTCCGAACGTTACAATATGAATTAAGTACTATGTCTTCTACAAATACGAGTATTTATATTATATTTATATAAATTAATAACGTGAGGCCAAACGATTTAAATCCACTTAATTTTAGTAGTAACTATAAATTATAACCTAACTAATGATATTGGTAGCCTTATTTTTATTCAGTTTGTTGTCAATAGTGGGAAATTAGAGGCCAAATTTCAAAGAAAAACACCAAATTTTCTCAATTGTCGACGTTTCGTCACTTATCGTGACATCCTCAGGACACTATAAAATTTAATAATTTCAAAATTACATCACAATTTATAAATAACAAACTTAACATTAAAATATTAAAAAAGTGTGTCTAAAACATTACAATAAAAAAAAAATTACAAATACAGACAAACAATTTTTATATGTCACAAATTTAAAAACAAAAGTATTAAAATTACATAAACAAAATGTTTTTATATAATAAATAATAAAATAACAAAATATGGTGAATGAACAAGAAACGCAACAAACAACAACCTGTACATAANCCAAGATTGTTATATGACATACTATGTATAACGAGACTAGGAAAACACAGTGAAACACTTAAATCTGTAATGTGAGTAACATATAAACAATATACGTAGATTTAATTTTAATTTAAAATTTTCTTTTTCGCATGTTATGTACAGGTTGTTGTTTGTTGCGTTTCTTGTTCATTCACCATATTTTGTTATTTTATTATTTATTATATAAAAACATTTTGTTTGTGTAATTTTAATACTTTTGTTTTTAAATTTGTGACATATCAAAATTGTTAGTGTGTCTGTATTTGTAATTTTTTTTCATGTTTATATAGATATTACTGTATTCATTTTATTGTAATGTTTTAGACACACTTTTTAATATTTTAATGTTAAGTTTGTTATTTATAAATTGTGATGTAATTTTGATATTATTAAATTTTATAGTGTCCTGAGGATGTCACGATAAGTGACGAAACGTCGACAATTGAGAAAATTTGGTGTTTTTCGTTGAAATTTGGCCTCTAATTTCCCACTATTGACAACAAACTGAATAAATTATAACATCTTTATTAGTTTAACTTCGTGGAAACATATTGTGTGAATTTTTAAGAATATTTATTTTTTTAATATTTTTATGGAATTATCGCTTGCTATCTAGGTACACGTAGGTCTACATTACAACATTACAGATAAACAATTTACAAGTCTTTGAAACTGAGGTAGTGTATAACTTATCAAATAATTAAAAGCAACTTACCTAACCTTGTACTTTCTTATCAAAATACGATATTAATGAAACGGAAAAAGTACCACTTAAATCAGATATTTTCACTGTTTTATCTGTTATTTTGTGATTTTGTTTTGATGGCAAACATTGATAGAAATACAAATGCACCGACTAACCTTTGGAATGTTTTATTTTATTTTTTTTCCACTTATACACTGTAAAAAATGTCACTCAAATTCCACTCATTTTTACTTAATAATCTGTACACACCCAATTGAATGACTTTTGACTCTATTCTGAGTATATAAAACCAATTTAGAGTTGACTTTTTCTCTAATATGATTTAAATGTAACTATTATTGAGTCATTTTTTACTCAAACTTGGTTTTTAATTAACTAAATATTGAGTGCAAAAATAAATCACTCATAAATGATTAATTAGAGATACAGTGTTGAAATTAATTTACTTCGCGCGGCATCCTCCTGTCCTGGCTAAGACCCTCCAGCTGAGACCCGCCGCCGACGCAACGGCTAAGGCCTGTTCTCCTGGCGATTACGTTTTTCTGGAGCATCTAACGGGCCCATATCACTGTGGTCAAGATTACAGAAGCAATACGTAAGTGGTGCCATCTTCACGGCGCCATTACTCGAAATTAATATACAGTGAAACCTCACTTAAGCGGACATCAATGGTCGAACCATTTTTGTCCGTTCAAGAGAGGTGTCCGCCTAAAAGAGAGATGATAAAAAAGGTACATGATGTAAAAATAAAATACAATATAAACATACGATTTAAACAAAAAATAACATAAATTTTAATATAACGCAAACATATGGTAGAGAGTATTACTTATATATTTATATATCTAAGTGCATACCTATATATTATTTAAAATAATCCGTTATTCATATTTATTTGATCATAGTTAATATATGCACGTTTTCTATAACTTGTTCTTGTAATAATATTAACATTTCGCAGCAAAAACTTTCAAATCTTCAATACACTTTTGAGTTTCAGCATGTGTTAATATTGCCTTCTTCTAATACAACATCCACATCGTCGTCATCATCAGAATATTCATTTTACACGGTTTCCTTTTTTGTAGTCATAGTTTCTGTTACATTAAAATCTTGTTCCACATATAAATGTTTGTCAAAGAAAATAAAAACCTCTGGATCTACTGGTCCGCTTAAAAGAGGTACCCGTTTAAGGGAGGTGTCCAAAAAGGGAGGTTTTACTGTACATTTAAACTCACTCAGTAGTGAGGACATTTACTCTGATTTAGGTACAAGTGCACCAAATACGAGTTTACGTGAAGAATTTATTTAAGGAGTACCTATATTTGAGTGAAAGTGTGCAGTTTTAGTTTAAATATAATCACAAATGAGTAAAATGATCAAAGTGCCTAATATTGAGTGAAGATGTACTCAATAATTTCACTTATTGGATTCACTCCGAACCTTTATTGCTTTCACTCACACCGATTTTCTTACAGTAACAGGACACTGGAAAGTTAACGAATATTTGTTTCAAAATAGATAACGATATAAAAAAAATAGCAAATGGAAAATTATTTCCTTCAGTTTAATTTTTGTTAAATTGTTTAAGTGATTGTATCTTTTAGGTACCTACCTGTACACCTGGAATGATTTAATTTTAATACAAAATAGCTTTTATTGAAATTTAATTACTACTATTAAATAATATAATAGAACTTTTTTATTTAATTTATGATAAAAATAAAAGTCAATTTTCAATAGGTGAAAGGGGTTGATTTTATAAAGTGAATTATATTTAAGCAGAAATAAAGTACGTAGAAAAAAACGCCACAAACAAACAAACAAAAACAATTATAACAATATCATTACGCCACCATTATTCTCAACATTAACCTGTTCTTCTGAGAATAAGATCATAATTCACATATTAAAAAATAAATTTCACATTAGAAATACATTTAAAATTAATTCCTAGATACCATGATTTCTGACTGTCATTGAATTATCACAAATTTTTAGTTTAGAATTTATGCAACGTTTTATAATTGATAAATACATAATATACAGCGTGTCCCACTAGTGCGGGAAAGTCCAATATCTATGTTAAAATGAGGAATATATGGATGTTTCTTTTTACTGTGTTGCCACATTTCTCGGAATGTACAAATTAAAAATATATTCAACTATACACGGTGTTCCACTTTTCCTGGACAGACACCAACTTTGGTTTTTTAAATGGAAACACACATTTTTTATATTTTTTTCGGATTCTACATCAAAAATAAAGGGTACTTTGTGTAGAATAGTTCTATTCAAATATTCACAGTTTTTGAGATATCTCGCTTGAAAAGTTTTTCGTCGATATTGGCTGCTTACATTTTCTGATACTGACAGGTTATACTAGTAGCTACTAAGCCCATTTTTTTATCAGATGTTTAGTAAGGATGACTCTTCCGAATCATGCTCCAAAAACTGGCCTGCGTTATACAGGGTGACTAAAATATCATGTCAAAATTGCCAATTGAAAAAGTGACGTAGGTAAATCATCAGTAGTTTCCATTTCAGTACCACACACTTAATTCTTTAAATGCTTTCATAGAAATGTGTCGAGAAAATTTAAATCGGGAGATCGTGGTGGTCCGGTCCTTTTCTTCCAGTCGACTGTAGTCCTTGCACTACAGTTAAAGCAATCTCGAAAATTAACAGATAATTTTCTTGTAAGACTACCATCTGAAACACAATTGGAAGACTTTGTCAGATCGCATAAAGTTACAGACTAAACGAACCCAAAAGTCAGAACTCGCAGGTATTACTTGGACCGGCCCTGTTCTCGCTTAAGGCCAACTTCAATTTTCCGTCAAGCCGACTGTAAACCTCAAGCAAAAAGAGGCGCAACGGCGCTGTGCCATCCTCTGCAACTTCAATTTTTCAATTACGGCGTAACTCGATTGCGTTCGTTAGACGGATTAGGTCTAAGAAGTAGGTTCAACGCAGAAGCGCACGATTTTATAAGAATTCCTCCACGATTTATCGATATGGAAGAACAGACGACGATGTCCTACGACGGTTTATCCTGATAATGCAATTATCCCGTTGACCGCTCCAAGGCATCAGGATCAAAAGAATGCCTTATAGTTTTTTGTAGAATTTTTCGAATGTTTCTAACTATACATATCAAGTATGAACTATTAATAAGCAAAAATAAAAGACAAACAGTATTTAAGTGTAGCTAGTAAAGGATTTTGGACTGTTGAACAACGCTAAAGATTATTACAACTTCGTGTGTCTTTATATACCACATATAACTAATTCTGCAGGTAACTAAACCGGTAAATAATAAATTTTGACCGTATTGTATCTTCCAGTTTTTCAAGCAAATCCGTTTATTGCAATTCGTTTTTTATAATTAATCACAACCGGGATGGATACTAAGAACAACACGTCTGCATATGTGATAGAGCTAATCTAGCACAGGCGTAGAAGCCACAGATGTAACCTTCGAGCATATACTCCTAGAAGCAGCTATCAGTTAGTTAAGTATTAATTACTTCGTGAAAAGAAGTCGCTCACAAAATATCAGAATTTATTTCACTCAAAATTATGAAAGAAAATCGCATAGAAGACATGTTGCGACTAGTCCATATACTTAGCTGGGTCTCACATACAGCCTTCGAGCATATACTCTTCTAGCGGCAGTCAAAAATCTCCAATTTTTTAAATGCAACACCCTGTATATATTCATACCATGAGATGCAAAATTAAATTCTCTACAACTTTGCTATACCTGCTCCTATACCAAAATTCATTAGTTTTTCATGAAACCTCATTTCTATGAAAAAATACGAAGTTTACAAATAGCTTATATGTAAAATAACGTAGTAGGCTCCTGTCAAAGGATAATCTGGAAAATTTTCGATTCACATAAGGTTTAATAGAANCCCACTCACAAAACTGTACACGCTTCTGAATATCTTGCTGTGTTAAGAATTGGTGATGCTCAGAATGATAGGGATGGAAGTTGTTTTTCTTTAACGTTCTATTAACCACACTTTTGGAAATACTAATTTTATCACTAATTTCTCTGACACTCGTAGATGGATTTTGGACTGCACATCCCAAAATGTCAATTTGACTATCCTGATTACTGCATGAGTGTGTTCTTGTTGTTTTCTCATAAGTTGCATTTGCCGTTCTTTCCAACCTCTCCTTCAGTTTTACAAAAAACTTTGTACGAAGATATCTTTGTAAATCTGGATTATTAGCTTGGTAAATAGGACTTGCCAATAAACAGTTACCATGAGCTTCTCCTACGGCGTACACCATATTTACTAATTCTTCTTTAGAGTAATTCATATCACAATTATTACTGTCGTTTTTCTATTAAACCTTATGTCAATCGAAAATTTTCCAGATTATCCTTTGACAGGAGTCTACTACGTTATTTTACATATAAGCTATTTGCAAACTTCGCATTTTTTCATAGAAATGAGATTTCATGAAAAACTAATGAATTTTGGTATAGGAGCAGGTATAGCAAAGTTGTAGAGAATTTAATTTTGCATCTCATGGTAAGAAAATATACAGGGTGTTGCATTTAAAAAATTGGAGATTTTTCAATTTTTCAATTGGCAATTTTGATATAATGTTTTGGTCACCCTGTATAACGCAGGCCAGTTTTTGGAGCATGATTCGGAAGAGTCATTCTTACTAAACATCTGATAAAAAAATTGGCTTAATAGCTATTAGTAACGTAGGGAGTAGCTTATAGCGACCAACATAACCTCATTTCTCAACGAGCTGTATAGCAGCTGTCAGTTTCAATAACGTTATTGACTATATAACTTTATTTTAAAGAATAATCGTCATAATAATAATAATAACAAACAATTAAAGGAGCTGCGGAAAGTGTCCCCCTCCTTGTTCCAAGCACTTTTCACACCTGTTCCTCGAAGAATTAAAGACATTTTCTAAGATGCTCGGGGTATTGTTAATTTCACGAATCTTGTCTATAAGTCGAGCCTGCAGATGGTTTAAATCAGGAATAGGCAGTTCAAAAATAGTGTTTTTAAGGTAAGGCCACAAAAAGAAATCACACGGCGTAATATCACATGACCTCGGTGGAAATTCATGTTCAGCATTGAGACTTATTAGTCGATTTTGGAAAACTTCCCTCAACATATTCATCGTCTCGCCTGCCGTATGTGCCCTTGCGCCATCTTGTTGAAAGTAAAAGTTTGTAATTTCGTTTTCTTCCAGCTGGTTAACAAAAGGAGCGATAATTTCTTCTCTATACCTTTGCGCAGTAAGAGTACCATTAAAAAAAATAGGTCCATAAATCCTCCTTCGATTGAGA